CAGTTGAATTATGTGAATATTGCATTTATTAAAATTATTTATTCATTTCCGGCATTCGGTTACAATGCGTGCTAGTCACCTCCCACGGTGAAAAGCAGCTGCTTCATCGAGGCTTTTCCAACGACCCTAGTACCCAATCAATCGGATAAACTCGATATCGTGGATTCCAAAGCGTGAACATACCAGGCCAGCTACTGAATAGAGCCATATGGGTCATAATCTGCCACCTGACCGTCTTCGACGCGGTTTTATCAACTCAATCCATTTAAGAGTGTCTGTTATATCAATCTCCTCATCTGTCTGATCTGCGGAAACTCATAAGCTCTCAACTTACTAGCTCTAAGGTTAGTGATGCAGGTAAATCATAATACGATAGAAGATTTGAGGCATCTGCTTTTCAACAGTTCGAGGCGCGGAAATGTTAGATAGACCACCCATACAGCACTGTCTTGATCGTGGAAATGACAAGATCGAATAAATGAGATTCGGCCACATTTCAAAAATTTAAAAATGTTACAGAAACTTACCGCGGACACGTTCTCACGGTTGTTGCCCATTGACTGCAACAGCGCCTTGTCCAAACCGAGCTTCAGAGAGGCGCGGTCGAACATTTCGCGTTCGTATGAATTTCTGGTGATTAGACGGTACACTTTGACGAATTTCTCTTGGCCAATCCGGTGGCACCGCGCTTGCGCCTAAACTGCGCCTCATTTACGGCGAACAACAAATGATCATCAAGCACGCGTGCAACAATTCCTTGCCTGAAGATCATTCTGCGGATTCCAGTCAGAATCAAAGATGATCACTGTATCGGCCGCGGTCAAGTTTATGCCCAGACCTCCAGCACGAGTGCACAGCAAAAATATGAACCTGTCCGAATCGGGTTTCGAGAACCGATCGATCGCTGCTTGCCTAAGGTCACCACGAACGCTTCCATCAATCCTCTCGTAAGTGTACCTACAAATCATAAAGTAAAAACGAAAAACATGTCTGATCGGTGCAACCGTACTTTTGGTGAAAAAGATATTCCTCAAGAATATCTAGACACTTGACCATTTGGGAAAAGATAAGAACCTTGTGACCGGTGCTCCTTAATCGAGGCAACAGCTTGTCAATTAGCACCAGCTTCCCTGACGACTGAACCATGGTTCTTTGGTAAAGTTCCTCTTCGGTCAGATCTTTGTGCGCAGCACGATAATCGGTGATTATTTTGTCTTCTGCCCCTTAACAAACAAAACATTCTCAAGTCAGTGCTGCCTATGATTGGTGTAAGTTTTAGAAACATGGTTATTGTAATATATCTTAAACATGAAGCAAATAAAGGCAATACCATGAAAAAGGTCTATACTCTATACTCGATTATCAAACACTGGAACGAGGTAGTTTTGCTTTTTGGGGCGATGTAATAAAACAATAATCCGATAAGCTGAATGATTTGGAATTATTTTTATGACGAAACATATTTTTCAGCTCGCTTACGGTAGCTCTATCTCCGCTGAAAGGATAGATATTGTACGATACGACAAATCTATTTAACACAGATCGAATGTCCCGTAACCTAAGATTCACCACGGGACGTTCAGTATTCATTGCCAGTTCATCTAATTCATGGTCTCATAAATCGTACTGTTCCAAAATTCTGGCTCCCTTTCAGTGCTTTACTTAACTTGACAGTGAATGCTGCAAAGTGTTACGACATCCCCCGCCGAGATCCTTTCGTCATTTCCCATTACATTTTATTCTGCGAAATGACCGAAAAGACTGCCCCATTATTCCTTGTGCTGGGCTTGGTTTGCAGTTTCCCTGACGATAAGCTGCAGTGAATTCGTCCCTGACACTATTCAACCTGAAATTTTCAAACATGCCTCACGACCATTTCCGTCACGGTTTTGGTACACTACGAATAATGATGTTGATCAACTGCTAATCGATCGCTCGTATGCATGACCGAAGAGAGACATTTTAGTTTATGATAAAGTTCATGATAAACTGTGTTCGACATATTCCACCATGTGCTTTTCTAGCATCTATGAGCAATTCAGCAGTTGTCATCTCATCACTCAGTTAATAGCTCACTATATTCCGCCAAAAAGAGCATTCAGACAAATCTAGGGCACTGGTTTCCGTCGGAATACAGCTGCACATATGACTGTTGGTCGAATGAGTGCCAGATTTCACCAGCGATCTGACAGTGGTCTTCAACAAATTTTACTCCAGCATTATATATGAAACTGCAGCGTTAATGATTCTTTCTTAAACACCTGCTTCACAGTTTCCATCACTGACGATCATCGATTTTTGAACATAGTAAAATCTTGCCAGTAAATTGTCATGATATTGCATTTTCT